TATATATTTTTTTCTTTTTTTTAACTAAATTATTTTATAATTTTTTTGTATGCTTCTCTAACATTAAATATAGTTTTATGATGTAAATTTCTCTCAAAGCATCCACCATAAATTGTTTATAAAAAGGGGTAAAAAAGTCTGTTTTAGGACCATTGTTGACCACCGTTGTTCTTTTTTATAGCAATTAAGCACATTTTCTCTTCAACTCAGTTGACTTTGGTGTTTGCAATAAATAAATCTACTTTATAACGTTATTTTTTTTTACTTATTTATTCCGATTATTATCTGTATTTAGTCCATATTTTTTGTACTTGTTACCACTGAGTGAAATATATATTTATTATGTTAATTTCACTCAAGCTATCCACCATCTTGGGTGAATTTAATTTTCAGTGAGAGCACTGCAATGCATTTTGAGATTGATTTCTTAGTCCAAGAAAGTACGTTTGAATGCATTATAATGTTGCTGCTCACCTGTGCTGCCTAAAAGTGCTTTCTGCGTATGTTTTCACTATCAGAGCAGCAGTGTGATTCATTAACACATGTTTTCTCCTTTCACGTGTTGCAGGCAGGTGCTGGTGGTCCTGTCGCAGCTGGAGGGGAACGTCGGATTCTCCATCACACACAGACTGGCCCATAGGAAAGCGGCGCAGGCATCTCTGGGCGACTGGACGTCTAGTAAAGCCACACACTCACCCCAGCTCACGCCAGACACTGACGGACTGCACAGACCGCGGCCACTTTGACACATGCTCACACACACACACACATAGACACACATAGACACACTGTCCCGTCATGAAACCACAGCGTCGAGTTCAGACCCGTGATGATGATGAACACACACGCAGCCACTGAGAGGGACTGAGTGGAACTACTGAGCCAATCACACGTCTGCTCGCTGAGCCAAGACCTGCCCACTGCAAACACAGCCGCTCTGCGCAAGCACACGCGTGTCATGATGAGCTGCATTCACATCCATCCTGGAGTCCGCCGGACTTTACCTTCTACTTTCTCTCCATGCATTCAGTCAGACGGCAAATCTCACCTAAATATTGCACACGGCTCATTTCACCCAGAATTAAAAGGGAATTTTTTTTTTAATCACAAAATGAAGCCTGTTTTTGGGACTATTATTATTACGGTTGCAATTATATATTTGTTCATGACAATTGAGCACATTTCCCCTCATGTTCATATTACTTTAAGTCTCATTTTTATTCAATTATATTAAATTGTCTGTCATGCAATTCAATTTTCCCCTAAAATTCTGTATTTCTGACTTCTAAACATTTCAGTTTTATTTTAATTGTATTATAATAATTGCAATAAAATAATAATAATAATAATAATTATTATTATTATTATTATTACTATTACAGCTTGCATTTTATTAGATTTTTATTCATGACAATTAAACACATTTTCCCCTGAAATTCACATTACTGTAAAACTCCTGGCTTCTAGACATTTCAGTTTTATTTTAATATTGTTAGTATAATTATTATTATTATTAATATTATTACTATTATTACAGTTTCAGTTATATTATATTATTTCCCCCCTTAATTTTCCCTTCAAAAATGGGGACATTTACTTCGTTTTCATTTTTACTTTTATAATTTTTGTTATTTAAGATGGTCTTCACTAGATTCTTATTACTTCAATACAATAGTGTACTGTATTATATAAAAATTATATATTTTTTTTTTAAACCACAATTAGGCAGTACATCAAATGTTAAAATGTTAATATTTTTTAAATATATAATTAGAAATTAATGTCAATATTATATCATTGTTTTTCCACATTTCTATAATAAGGTTTTTTGTTTGTTTGTTTTGTCGTCTGAATTGGGGGGGGGGGGGGGTAATTGTCAGGATATCTTAAAGGCCCAAAATACAGTTTTAATTTCCTTAAACATAATGTATCTTAATTCATCCTTTAATCTTAGGGTGAAATGTGCCGAGTTCTCAACGTATTTTGTGAGATTTAGGATTAATGATGTTCTGACAGCCAATCAGCAACCTGTTCTGTATAATGGGTAATGTAAGGACAAATGGCGATACTTGATTTTAATGGAAGGCCAGGTGTGGTAAATGAGGGGTTTATGTGTTTGAGCGCACATGTGGGAAGCATCTTTTAATTTATTAACGTTGTGTTTTAGGAAAGAAGCACAATAGAAGCTGCTGAAGGAGAGCTGATGGGAATGTTTTCACCTGTGTGTCGGACTTTATTTGTGCACTGAGCATCTCGTGTGTGTTTTTCCTCTGAATGTGGTCGGTCAGTGTCTCCCTCTGTTGGTGTGTGTCGTCTGATCATGTGACGTCTCTCACACACACACACGTTCTGTCTTTCTTTTATAAATTGTACAGCGCTGTTCCCCTCTGCACAATCCCATCAGAAGTACTCGCTGTAATTATACAGATCTCTGTCGGCCAGGAGTATAATATGTAGAATATTTTATTGATTCTTGGACAAAAATAATGTATTAAAGTTTAAAATCTGTACAGTTCATTTGCAATCTCAGGTTCTGTCGGACCAAATGATAAATAAAGCTTTTGTTTTGTTTCATTTTTTTTAAATCAAGAAACGCGAGTTGCTGACTTATTTTTATTTGTCACTTAAAGGTGAAGTGCATTATTATTTTTGTTAGAGTAGTTTTCATATCACAGTTTTATTGTAGTAGACATTCTTATATTTATATAGAGTTCTTAGACGTTCTTATATTTTTGTAATTTCTTTAATGGTGCAGAAATGACCGACTAACAGTTTGATTCTACATTACTTTGCTTTTTTTATTTTTTTATGTATTGTGAATTTTCTCTGAACTAGATAGTGAAAGTATATTTTAATACTGCAAAATAGAGTAAATTTGTTGTTTTTTTAAAAACTAAATAACCAATAGAACCAAAATACATACACAGAACTTGTAGAATATCAATTTTAAATGTAGTTTGTTTTTTAATAGAATATCAAACCAGTTTGCATGTCCCCAATAATCACTGCAATATTTTATTTGGCTATAGTCTAAAAAGCAGAAACAAATTTACCCAAAATTTTTAGTAATTAAGATGTGTGTGTGTATATATATATAATATATATATATATATATTTTTTTTTTTAGAAATGTAATCATTGTAGACTTTTTTTTTTACTATATTTTATATAATTATATCTGTCACTTTTTCCTACGAATGACCCTGAAATTTCATACAATAACTGCATTGATCATAAGAATTTATATATATATATATATATACACACACACACACACATTACATATGTACTATATATATATATATATATATTAGTGCTGTCAAGCGATTAATCGCATCCAAAATAAAAGTTTTGTTTACATAATGTGTATTGTGTATATTTATTCTGTATATATAAATACACACACATGCATGTATATATATTTAAGAAAAATATGTAACATTTATATATTAAATATATTTATATATGATATAAATTATATGAATATAAATATATACATGTAAATATTTACAAAATATATGCTGTATGTGTGTGTATTTATATATACAAAATAAGTATACACAATACACATATATTATGTAAACAAACTTATTTTGGATGCGATTAATCGTTTGACAGCACTAATATATATATATATATATGTATGTGTGTATATATATACAGTATATATGCATACACACGCACACTCTTACTTTTTTCCTGAGTGACCCAGTGCTTTCATCATATGCATTTAATATGTGATAGTAAATTCCAGTAGACATCTGTGTAGAAGCAAGGATCACAGCAGGGTTAATAATATCGCAGTATGAAGGGGGTGATTGAAATGTGGGTGCACTGAAGTAAGTGTAGTTTTGGGTAATAAATAGCCGGTGGCGTCTCGGCGTAACTCTAGAGCTGCTGGAGTGACTCTGGGGGAAGGGGTTCTGCAGGGTAAGGAGAATCTTCTGACTAATTTGAACATGTTCCCAGAGACCTGGACCTGGACTGATGTCAGGCTCTGCCCTCGTCCCAAAAAAGGAGAGCGGGATGAGTGCATGACAAAGAGAGGTGGAGCTACTGAAGAGAAGCTGCAGCACATTGGGACTGGATCTGGATTTTCATGAAGTTTCTGCTGCTCATATGTGACATAAAGGAGTTTTGTTTTTGAATTGACAAATTGCTGTTTCACTGTGAGTATTATTTTTCAAGCTTTCATATTTGTTCCAATTATGTTTCTGCTGTGATAATTTCTCTAATTAAGTGTGTTAGTTTATATGGTTTCTGTGGCCTGAGTGTGAAGGTTGAAATATATTTCAGTCAGCTGCTTCGAGTGTGAAACGATTGCAGTAGTTTTACATGATAAAACAGACTTATTCTCTTTTGTTTCTCTCTTTTCTTTCACTTTTATGCTTTAATGATTGATGGCTTTGTTTGTGAGTATCTGATATGAAATATTGAATCACTGAAATGTCGTTTATGATATTTGTTCAGATTGTGTCTCTCTATGAGCGTTTGATTCTTTAATGTTTAGGATTCACAACTGTAGGTGAAAATTGGTTGATGCATCTGTCAAATATTAGTTATGCTAATGTTTTGAGCGAAGGTTGAATCACCAGTCTGCATCACCCTCTAAAATCAAACTTGAAAGTTTCAGATCAGTAAGACTTTTTTTGGGAGGAAATATATAAATATAATTCCATAAGGATGCATTGAATTGATCAAAAGTGACAGTAAAGACATTTATAATGTTACAAAAGATTTCAAATAAATGCTGTTCTTTTGAACATTGTATTTTGAACATTCTATTCATACTGTAAATATTTGTTTTATAGCAATGACATTTTTACAGTACGCTATTGACAGTTATAAATGTGCTTAACTGTCATGAAAATATCTGCAAAAAACCTTACTGGTCCTCAGATAAAGAGTGTTTTCTTTATGCAAAATCTAATTCGATTTTTCTTTACATTTTTGGTTGAAATATGACCCAAGTATTATTATGTAGTCACAGTGTGTGTATTTCTACTCCTGAGCTCATGAACTAATGGACTAAGATATGAACTATACTTCAGAATCAGCAGTAAATCAAAAGAAACACACACACTTGCATCAAAAAAGTCTCAAATTAACCAAAATCTCTTGTTGTCAACACCTTATGAAATGTGTGTGTGTGTGTGTGTGTGTGTATCTGGTATTTATCATGTTATGGGGACCAAATGTCCCCACAAGGATAGTAATACTAGTCAATTTTGACCTTGTGGGGACATTTTTGAGGTCCCCATGAGGAAACAAGCTTATAAATCATACAGAATTAGTTTTTTTGAGAAAGTAAAAATGCACAAAGTTTCCTGTGAGGGGTAGGTTTAGGTGTAGGGTTGGTGTAGGGCAATAGCACATACAGTTTGTACAGTATAAAAACCATTATGCCTATGGAATGTCCCCATAAAACATGGAAACACAGCAGGTGTGTGTGTGTGTGTGTAGGTGAAGAGCTCATCCAGAATGGCCGGTCCGGTTCCAGCGGTTCCAGCACTCCCAGACTCTTTTACTCCGAGTTCAGACAGTGTTTACTCGGATCAGTTTGGCTTTTACTCTCTGGACAGTAACGTTCCTGGTCTTTCTAAAGTCATCTTAGACAAACTCAACATGACAAACTACAAAGAATACAGGTGAGAAACACACTTATAGTGGAGAACGGCCCGGGTTTGTAGTGTTCAGATGCTGTGACTCTCTCTCTCTCTCTCTCTCTCTCTCAGGGCTGCACTGGAGGGCAAGGGAAGGGTGGGATTTCGCTCTCACAAAGAGATGTTTCAAAATCTAGAAGAAACGTTCAAATTCTGCGCCTGCTGCTCCAAACTCTCATCCAATCTTCCAGACCCGAAAGCACTCAAACGCTGCATCAAGTGAGTAGAAACACACAGATCACAACATCACATCATTTAAGATGAGCAGATTACTGAAATATAAACCAGTACATAGTTCAGTGAGCAAAATATCACTAAAACTACACTTGAATTATTTATGAATCAAAAAACAGGGACAAAACATTTTTATATATTGGTTTTAAAAGTTGGGTTCCTGCTATTATTATAATTATTATGATGTTTGTGTGTCACACTGACCCTAACTGGTTTTTAATCAAAAATCACACTATGAAAAATAGTAAATGGTGCAAATAACAAACAGATCAAAACAGAATTATAACAAAATTATGACTTTACAAAACAATTAATTAGATAAAACTTAAAATAACACTTTTTAACATTTTATAATTGTATTAATCACGTAAACACATTCATACTGTATGCAAAAAGTCAGTTTGCTGGTTTTCATCTCACAATTCTGACTTTTTTCTCTGAATTTTTGTAACTTGCAATTGCGAGATTCTGAGATATTGCAGTTTTGAGAAAAAGAGATATAAACGTTTTAATATTTCAATTCCATGGCAGAAATAAGTTTCCATAGTTTTGAAAGTGCTGTACAAACGGGGACATTTAGCTAAAGTTGGGATGTTATGGGATACCCTCAATATCACATCAGTTGGTGTATAACGAGAGTCAGTCAGAGCTGTTGTCCCAGCTGGCGCTGTCTCTCCTGCGTCTCGCAGTCGTCCTCCTGCCCTTCAGAGCATTATCACCTGCTTATTAACATACAGAGCTAATGCAGGATGTTAACACCTCTGTCTGAACAGCAACAGATAATGCTGTGTGCTAACACGCTAATGCTAACACCTCACACAGGTCCTGTTGAATGTTTAACCCAACCGCTGGGTCAAAACAACACAATTGCTGGGTTTGTCCCTATTTTACCCAGCATTTTTTAGAGTGCACTGTTCTGGCCTGGAAGAATAAGATCAGAACAGGAGTAAGATCCGACCGCAGACTTTCACCTAAAAATAGCTGTTCGTGAAGTAATGCAGGAGGCCGGGCTGAGTGTCTTCATTCAGGTTTTTATTGAACAGACTGCGCTATCGAAGCTGGAAATCCAGGTTATTCTGTGCCGAGAGACCCAGAAACCCACCATCAACACCCAGGAAAGATTATTCCCATTTTTACAATATTGATCCACCCTGACTTAAGAAGTCAGTCTAGTAAGAGTTATGGTTTATTTAAAGGGGTCATAGGATGTGACATGCACTTTTACAAGTTGTTTGAGTGCTCCCCCGATCTACATAAATGTGTCTATGTTCGTGCGAATCATTCATGATCCAGCTTCACCTACAGAAGAAGTGAGTGTAATGTTTTGTAATGAATCTTTGCAAATCACCTTTCATAATAATGTGCTAATTAGCAAGTTTCACGATGAATGCGGATAAAGTAGACAGTCCCTCAGAGAGCAGCTGGAAGAGAGGGGCGGGGTCAGCAGAGCTCATTAACATTTAAAGGAAAATGCTACAAAAACGGCTTGAACTGAAAAGAGCTGTTTTTGACAGGGTAAAAAAAAAGGTGTTTTTTACACTACCATTGAGAAATTTTAACCAAACTATGTTACAGACTTTTCATTAAGACCCTAAAGAATCATATCAACTTGTGGAAAATGGGCATCCTATGACCCCTTTAAATTACATAAAAATATTAATTATATATATTTAAGTAAAAAAATACACACACACATATATATATAATTTTATATATTTCATAACACATAATTATACATTTTTAAAATGTATTTATTTTTATATCTTATATAAAATATCAAACTAAATATAATATATGTAAAAATGCATATAATATATATAAAAATATAAAATAAATTATGAAAAGAATTATGCTATATTGTTTCTTTATATTCCTTTGTTTTATTGTATTATTATTGTATTTACTTAATAATATATTTATATATTTCATTGTGTTTGTTTATCAAATAAATTATATAATTTTTTATTATTAATTATAGAAATTGTATTTAGTATGTATAATATATTTATTTAATATAATTTTATATTTTATAATATATAAATATACCATACTACGTTACGTCACTTTTTAATTATACATTAAAAAAATTATATATATATGTATTATATAAAATATCAAACAAAAAAATAATAATCATGTACGACATAAGTGTATACTTATATTATGCTTATATATTTCATTACATATGTGTGTGTGTGTGTGTGTGTGTGTGTGTGTGTGTAGCAATATTAAACAATATAAATAAAAATTACATTATAGTATATATTTATATTCTCTCTTTTTATTGTATTATAAATCATCTTATCATACTTGCTTGTGTCTCTTTTTGTCTTTGCTGGCTGTTCTCTTAAAACCTGATCCGAATTTTTAGCCTTTGTGTAAAGGGGAAATGTTAACGACAGAGTCACACACATCACATGACGCCGCCAACACAATAAAAACTTAAAGTACTGAAATGATGAGGGCAGCTGCTAAAAATGGCACGGACCTTTTAAATCTGTCTGCTGAAGCCTCGACTCTTAAGTGTTGATGTTATGCAATACTTTTAGTGCTAGCTTGCTTTAACTCTTCAGCATCTAATTTTGTGCTCCCAGGTGTCTGAACGTGTATTACTGCAGTAAAGACTGTCAGAAGAAGGACTGGTCTTTGCATAAGAAGTTCTGTAAGATGCTCCATAAGGTCTCCATCGACAGGCTGGTGGAGTGGCTCGTTCACACAGGTCAGAGGAAACACAAATCTCACTGGATTATTACAATTAATGTCAAAATGAATGTTTGGAAATGTAAACTGATATTTCCTACTGACACACTACAGCAAAATATAGAAATAACTGACTAAAAACCGTTTTTAGCTGCTGAAAATAGTAGTGTTCTAATCATTTTGGCCACCACTGTGTGGTTGGAGTTGTGAGAGGTTGCTAAGTAACATTCTGTCAATCATCCTGTGCTCCAATAGGAGATCTTCCTTTCCCTACGGAGGCGTGGTCTCAGCCCGCTAAAGACATCAGGTGTTGGGATGACTGGGTCTCCATGCAGGGAGACCTGACGCCCCGTCTGGACACAATCCTGTCCGGACAAAGCATGACAGACCTCTGGACCAATGCCTGCAGGCCGCGGCCGGAGGAGGCGGAGCTTCGTAAGTCTGTGTGGCGAGTGTGCAGTGAGTTCTTCTCTCGGTCGCTGACGCTGGGCCTGGGGATTCAGATGGCCCGTCTGGACCCGTATTCCCGCCCTCTGACCTTACACCTAGTCGGGGCCGGTCACAACGAGACCCTGGGAGCCAGAACCACAGACATGGACGAGCTCGGCCGCATGTTCCCGGGGCACCAGGGGCTGGAGGTGGTGATGGTGGGGCCCGAGGTGGTTCAGGGGCCCATCATGAGGCCCCCGCTGAGGGCGTTTGGACCCCGGGGAAAGGTTTACATCAGTGCTTACAAGGGCCTCTATCATCAGTTCTGGGAGGAAGTTGTGGAGAAAGGAGAAGCTACCAAACCAGATCTAGTGATCGGATTTCATCCAGGTACAAATAAACAATATTTTATCTAATCATGAACTACACACATCATAAATCCCTTTTAGGCAAGTACCATTTATGTCACAATATATTTTAATAAGACTAAATTTGTATTTAACCTGATGATCACAGGTTTAATAAAAAAGACATGTTAAGTTTCTAATTATAACACCGCATGTCCACGGTTATTCAAACAACGGACAAATTATACAGCGAGCAAAGAAAAACATTTACCTTATCAAAGAATAATCACTGACTTCAGTCTAGCGTGAGTGTAAGCACTCTAAAAAAGCTCCAGTTATAATCAGTGATGCTGTCAATGTAAAAAACAAAACATTTTCTTGTTTCTGAATTCGCCATGACCAACACTCCAGCGTTCCAGAGATGAAATCTGAACGCCTCTGACTTGCCAAAATCAACAGAATCGTGTGCGATTGGTTATAATGCGCTGTAAAACTCTTGAAACGAAATGCACCATGCGCAGATTTAATGCCACAGTAGACTTTCATTTAATTTTCACTTTATTCGCGACACACGCTCTGCAAATTTTTACGTTTTTCAAAGTTTACATACAACTTGCAGAATCTATATTATAGACTATAGATCATATAGATCTATATTAAAGGATGGTTGGTATTATATTAATACATTTAATATAAACGTGTGGCTAGTTGGCTAGAAAATCTTTAGTTGGGGGTAGGCCTATACGGTGAGCGTGATTTCACCGAGTACAACATGTTCCTGGATCAACATCCTTGTTGATCCTGGAACAACATTCCAATCAACCAATCAGAATTGAGGGATAACTTTTCAGTAAATATCTGTTTTAGGCTTATGATCAGGGTTAGGTGCTTCTACACCCTTGTTAATCAGCTATCATTTCACACTGATTTTAGGAATAAATTATGGGTAGGGTTAGGTTTAGGGGTGGGGATTGGGTTAAGTCTGTATTTTTGGACAGTAATGTTGATCCAGGGACATGTCTTACTTGGCAAAATCACGGCGACCCCTACCTGGCACAAGGAACTGATCCATTTTTTAAATAAAATGCTGTGACATTTCGAAAAGTGCACCTGCTAATCAGGCCACGTTATACTTTACATGTTATTCTGTTCTATTCTGTTCCATTTTTATATAATTTTTTTGTGTGTGTGTGAGTATATATATATAACATTTTGTATAGTATTTTTATATAGTATGAATTTTTATATATTTTGATATATAATAAATGATATATAAAATAAATGTTATATATTTATATACAGTTTTATTGCATTTTGATTTGTTTATTGTTATTTTACAACAGTACATAATAATAAATAAATAATATTTTAGTATTATTAGCATTACCACAGTAGAGCATGGTGTCAAGGTCATGGGTTTGATTCCCAAGGAATCCATAAAAAATGTATGCCTTTAAATGCCAGTCACTTTGGATTAAAGTGTTTACCAAATGCATACATTTATTTATTCATTCATTCATTGTTTTTTTGTTTGTGTTGGATTAATGAAATTCCTCAGTGTTATCACAATTAATCGGAAATGTCCTCTTCCTGTTAAATTTCACTGTAAAATCATCCTGTGGGCCAATCAGATTCAAATGTATTTTGCCCAACCCTAGCAGACAAACACAGTCATGGGTTCCAGGATGATTGCTTCCCTCCAGTATCAGTCATTTATTCTCTGTTGCAGTGATGCTGAGCTCCAGTATTCACTGCAGATCCTCATAGAGCTGGAGATAGATGTTAAAGACACCGGAGCGAATCCCTTCAGCTCCCAGAAACCCGAGCAGGTCCAGTCCAGCCCAAACAAAGCCCCCAGTTACTGCAATGCCTTTTATATTTACTTTCAGGGTCTGCTGGAGACACAGCAGGAGGAGTAGACTCAGACCTTCGCTTTCATTCACTTATAAACCAGCTGAATGCATCTAAAAAAAAAACTGCAAATAACCCCCTAATTATGTCACTTGCTATTACAGTTTATTGTTTAAGAAATAAATGTTTCACGTAAAACTGCTGTTAAACTTGTTTGCAACACAATTTAGTGAACATTTAGCGCCCCCTAGTGCCGAAATCTGCCATGACATTTTCTTCATTCGCTCTTTAAAAGTTATATTATATTATACTATATTATATTATATGCCTACAAAGCCAGTGTCTAATTTTTTATTGATATTGACTGAATAAATAATCTTTCCATTGATGTATGGTTTGTTAGGATAGGACAATATTTGGCTGAGATACAACTATTTGAAAATGTACAAAATATCTTCATGGAACATGATCTTTACCTAATATCCTAATGATTTTTGGCATAAAAGAAAAATGGATAATTTTGTCCCACAGAATGTTTTGTTGGCTGTTGCTACACATATAGGCTTCCCGTGCGACTTGTGACTGCTTTTGTGCTCCAGGGTCAAATATTATAAATAATCTTCATAATCATTCATTTTTTATTGAAAACCAAAAGGTCTATTTTAATTCCTTAGTCAGAGCTTGTGCCAGATTTTTATTATCTGTTTGTTTTAGTTTCACTTGAGTGATTATTTAATATGGAAGAAGCTTTATAAAGTTAATAAAAACATTTATATAAGCAAATAAAAAATGCGTCTATATTTATTTTTCTATAGGGCCTATTATTTATTTATTATAGGCTTTGTTTGACAATAAAGTTTGTACACTTTATAGGTTGCTGTACCTTTCCTTTAGTACATGGCTTCAATATTCTGATTTGCCAAAGTTTCACAGTATAACTGTTGTCAGTTAACCCTTTCTTGATCCCTTAACTCTGAAATATTTCACAGTGCAGTGTTGGTCAGTTAACCCTTCCCTGGGTCACTAACATCACTATTCTGATCTGTGAAAACGGACCCTTACTGAACTGTGAAAGTTTTCACAGATCAGAATAGTGATGTTAGTGATCCAGGGACAGTGGTGGAAAGAGTACTAAGAAATTGTACTTAAAGCAGCACTATGTAACTTTTCTGTGTTCAAAATTTGCCAAATGTATATAATGAGCGAATACATCATGATTCATCTTCCAATCCGCATTTTTGTCTTAGTCCGAATCACTACGGTACACTTATAATAAGTACTTATATTTGGACTATTGCAGCCTGGTCACCGCTGCGGAGTAACACACACCTGCGTGAATCGCCATAGACATACACTTAGAGAAGTAGATCCGGTTGGAATGTTCTTCCGCGGGATGTGTGCCGTTCTGTTTATTAACCGCTAGAGCGCCAAAAGCTACATAGTGCTGCTTTAAAGGGGTCATATGATGCTGCTAAAAATAACATTATTTTGTGTATTTGGTGTAATGAAATGTGTTTATGCGGTTTAAAGTAAAAAAAACACATTATTTTCCACACACTGTACATTATTGTTTCTCCTCTATGCCCCGCCTTTCTGAAACGCGTCGATTTTTACAAAGCTCATCGTTCTGAAAAGCGAGGTGTGCTGTGATTGGCCAGCTATCCAGTGCGTTGTGATTGGCCGAATACCTCAAGCGTGTGACGGAAATGTTACGCCCCTCACCATACTGTGATGCCGTGTCCGGCCGGAGCGA